TCATGTTATGGCAACAGCTTCTTTCCTTAAACTTTATGAACCAGTCTCTGCCAGCTTCAGACCTTTCTTCTGCAGCTTCCTCACCTTTCTTAGATTTCACAGATTTGAAGAGTTAGTGCCTAACTCTGGATTGGGCTTTGGCTGAAGGGGCTCTTGTGGCTGGTTTGATCAATCCAGACCAGTTAGACTTTGTATCATCAGTAAGGCTGTTTAACTTCTTACCACTTGTGTATTCACTGAGTTAGCACTTTCAGTTTCCTGTATGAACTTTTATGTTGCATTCACAACTGGCTATTTCGTGCATTTCATTTGATGTATTTTTCAGCTTAAACAGTAGTGTGCACTATGGAACAACCATAGTAGTACTTTTTTTTTTTTTAATACTATCATACCCATCATCCTCAGCTGTGTAAAAAGAGCAAAAACTGGAATAATATTTAGCAGTGAACATTGATGAAAATTACAGTAGCTGAAGAGGCAGAGATCACATCATTAGGATAATACTTTATGGTTTAGCTTGTGCTACACAAAGTGTGGTGTGTGGACCTGGTACCAGGCCATGCTTTTCATTTAATGAGGAGTTGGAGAAATTATCCTTGATAATTTAATAACATATTTCTCCAGCTGGTTTCAGTGAGGCAGTAGATTATAGTTTAAGAACACGTGAAGCAATAAATGTTTGTAGTATTGATTCTGTCACTGAAGATGAGTAGGGTTAAACAAAAATAATGTGGCGTATCCACCAAAAATAAACAGACTCTTTTGTTAGGTAATGAAGGGTGGAGTTGAGCCATTTGCATTCAAGGCTGGTCTACCAAGCCAGAGCCACTGAAAAGCCAAACCAGTTTGGTGTTTTTGTTGCTGTTGTTGTTGTTGTTGTTTTATGTAGGCTCCCCACCCAACATGGGGCTTAAATTTACCACCCTGATATCAAAAGTTGCAGGTTCTACTGACTGTGCCAGTGAGGTGCCTCAAGCCAAACCAGTTCTGAAAGTGTTTATTAAGCATTGCTTCTCAAGGTATCTAGATGTATCAAGATCTTTCTTACTGAGTATATAAATCCACCAGGATCTCTCAGAGCTCAAATTCCTATGAGTCTTCCAGACTCGAGCCAACATAAGATGAGGCTTAGATGGATTTTTCAGATTTACTCTATGTTTGAGGTGCTTCCAAACATTTAGGTTCTGGGCCTGGCTGTTTTTGATGAACAAGATGAGAAAAAGAAATTTTCTTGCTAGTAACTTCAGGCCTTTTAGCCAGGGAGGACAAGATGTCTGTGTACCGCTGTTACATAAATTCTGGAAATAAAGTGTGTATTTAAAGATTGAGATCTTGTATTTTTGGTTAGGTGTTAAATATTGAGAAAAGAATCATTTTAGCTATATTCATCTTACTCAGAAATTAAACTTTTATTACTATAATGTTCATAGATTTTCAAATGTACATTTTTAAAAAATACTTAAACATCTGGAATCGATGTGTTACTGGTGGTGTTTGGCGGCAGTTTTCCTTCTCTGGTGTCCCGTAAGATAACGGCGCATCTCAGGATGATGTTTCTTAGATTCAGAGAACATGGTACATTTGCAATGTATGTAATTAGTTTTCCCATACCTCACCAGTTTAGGTACAGAAAAGGGTGATATTTGGTCAAGAACTACTGGAACTCTAATTTCTTGGCTTCTTCCTCACCCAGTGGTTTCTGGGTAGTTACCTGCTTCTTTGGTTACAGTAGTTACCTTTTGCAGTTATTTCCCATTATTCCCAGTTACCTCATTCTGTCGCCGCCATTTTCAGCACTGTCTGGGAAAACTGACCACATTGCCATGCTAGTTTTCACAACGAGTGGTATCATTGCTTTTGTGAGTGTTTCTCTTCTGCTTTTTCTACGCTTTGTCTTCAAAGTTCGGAGCTGAATACCTCCTCATGAGATAATAGCTTTCTGTTGATTGAGGCTACGTGGTGTGATCTCTAGTTTACAGTAGTTCTTCATATCCTCAAGTGAGTAAGAATTATTTTTTTTATTTTTACATCAAATTTTTTAGATCCTTCTCTTTTAGCTTCTGGTTCCACATTCAGGAAAGTCAGAATCAGGTCCCCCCCCCTTTTTTGTTTTTGTTTTGTTTTATTTTTGAGTATAGCTGATAGAACCAGTTGCTTAGAAGATCCAGTGGACCCTTGAGAGGACCGATTGGTTACTTAAAGACATGTTGGGGCACCTGGGTGGCTGAGTCAGTTAAGTATATGACTTTGACTTGGGTTTTGATCTCAGGGTCCTGGGATTGGGCTCTGTGTTCAGTGAGGAGTCTGCTGCTTTCTTTCCATCTGCCTGCATGCGCGCATGCACACACACTCTCAAACAAAGTCTTTTTTAAAATAAATAAATAAATAAATAAATACATGTCCTGCCTTCTCCAAGGAATTACTGCTGCTTTTTTTTTTTTTAAAGATTTAATTTATTTATTTGACAGAGATCACACAAGTAGGCAGAGGCAGGCAGAGAGAGAGAGGGGGAAGCAGGCTCCCCGCTGAGCAGAGCCCGATGCAGGGCTCGATCCCAGGACCCTGAGATCATGACCTGAGCGGAAGACAGCGGCTTAATCCACTGAGCCATCCAGGTGCCCCAGGAGGCCAGTAATCTTAGCATGTGAGCTTCTGAATTGGGCTGTGTTTACAGTATGGCAAATGATTCTACAGAGAGTGACCAAAATGTAAACCATAGTCTTTTAGAACCTAATCTTGGGAGTAACATTGTTTCTGCTATATTCTGTTGGTCACTGACAGTTTTGGTATAGTGTGGGAAGGAACTACAGAAAAATGTTAATATAAGGAAACAGAGTTAATTGGAGATTCTCTTGGAATTTGGTCATCACAAGTCTCTTGTGAACATGTAAGGAGTAGTAGTATCAGGGTGTGGAAAACATTTCTTTTTTTGTATCACTATGTTCAGGAGACCTAGGGATAATTATGCCAGTAAAACTCTTCATAGCTTACTTTTTTATCCTTCTGTTTCAGTTAGTAGCTATGCAAATGGACTTTCCTTGATTCGATAATAAGGGATTGCTCTCCCTGTTTCAGTGAGGTTCTCAAGATCTGGAGAGTTTCTACAGCAGTGTTACCCAAAATGTGGTTATTGAAACAAGATTTTTCCAAGATGCTTTACGCTAAGGGGGTTCCGTTACTTTTGGAAGCCTCTGTGTTATCTTCTTCCCCTTGGAGAATTATTGGGCAAGTTAGTATATTAGAAGTCTCTGAAAAGCCCTGCATTGAAGAAAACAGTTTCTCCATTTTGTACCCAGTGTTTTAAAAAATGTACTTGATCACTGAATCACTATATTGTATACCTTCTAATATAACACTGTATGTTAACTATACTGGAATTAAAAAGCTTAATAAAAACATTTACTTGATCATATAACCCACATTTGTTATTGTAAGTGGAATAAATTAAAAACCTTGTTCTAACAAAAATTTATCACAAACATATTCCTTTATTCAAAACAAGTTATTTAGGCAGGCAGCTTTATTTTACATTTTAGGTAGTTAAAATTTTTCTTAAGTACTTTTCAGTTTGTAATTATTTTACATTTTGGGAGGCAACTGAGGTCAGAAATTGCAAGTAGCCAATACTCTATTTTCATTGTTATTAGCAGTTGTGATATTGCAAGATCCAAGGGAAGTTTTCATTCTTGGCCATTTAAAGGGCCATTTAGGAGATTTTGTTTTGTTTTGTTTGGGGGTATTTGGGTAATTTTTATTGATTTATTAGCAAATGTTTTTGAGCATATTTTAGGCCCTGGGTTTGCTGTGATCAACAACATTGTCCATCCTCCTTGTAAGGAGGCAGCCAGTCAAATGTAAGAACGTAATTGCAGAAGGGCTGCAGAGAACAAAGCAAAGACATGATGGTCCATAGATAGCTAGCTGTCTGTGGGCCAAGTATGTGCCTATTAATAGTTTCTTGTGCAGTGATTCTCAAGAAAGAAGGGAGAAGTTTTCTAACCTGTAATGGTGTTGGATGATAAGCTTACTTAAAAGTATCCAGCATTGAAAAGATCTAGAAACATTGCTATATTGTTAGTAATATTTCATTGTCCAGAAAAACTACAGGCTAGCTTTTAAGCAGAGAATTGTTGAGTTCTGAACAGATATCCATGCTTGTTTACTTTAATGCAAGAAAAGATGCTCATTAAGAGTCTTTATAGTGTTACATGCAATTCTAATAACATTGGTTATTTGGTTTTTAAACCCATAAGCTATGGGCTTCTGTGGTTTTTGTGTTGCTTTGTTGTATACTGGGAAAGAATGTCCACTAGTGATTACATGGGAAGAGTTGAGCAATAAAAACTGTGTAAACAAGAATGTAAAATATAGCCATTTGGGGGCATCTAATATGTAGAAAAATAACTATATCTCAGGTCCTGACATTATATTCTGGAATTGAAAGTTTGTGTGTAGTTATCCTATTTAAAAATGAAAACAAATATGGGCTGTAAATTAAAATTATTCAAAACATTTTCAAAAGGCTTTTTGCGTATATGGTTACTTGTATAGTTGTTTTTGTTGCTTTTTTTTTTTTTTTGCAAGCTTGTATGTCTAAAGTGACATTTTTTAAGGATGATGGAGAAGTGTGCTTTTTATAATTGGAAAGTAGTAAAGGAAACACTGCTGAAACTTTTAAGCAGTTATAATCTGGGCTGAGATCTTACAACCTCAGTGGAGTAACAGTGACGTTTGTAGGTAGTGGTCTGCTCTTTGTAACCACTTTACAGCATCATTGTTTACAAATCTATTTAGAAATACTTTGATTGTGAATTACAGGATAAACAATTAAAAATTGAAGAAGCATATAAGATATATACAAGATGAAAAGTTCTTGCAAAGGAAAAGATGTGAGCATTTGGAGGAAATTTACTCAAGGATTTCAGACAGAAACTAGAAGGATGTTTATATTGTCTTTTTTTTTTTTTTTAATATAAATTACTGTTGATATTCTTTTCTAGAAACGACTGCAGAAAGAACTGTTGGCTTTGCAAAATGACCCACCTCCTGGAATGACTTTAAATGAAAAGAGTGTTCAGAATTCAATTACACAGTAAGTATTTAATTTTTGAAGTCATTGTTTCTTTTATTATTAGTGTAAAGTATGAATATATACTTATTTTTTAAAATGTAGTATTTGGGGGCACCTGGATGGCTCATTTGGTTAAGTGTCCAACTCTTGATTTTGATTAAGGGTCGGGAAATCAAGCCCCTCTTTGGGCTCTGTGCTTAGTGGGGAGTCTGCTTGAGATTCTCTCTTGCTGTCTCTCACTCTGCCCCTCTCCTTACTCTCTCTCCCAAATAAATAAATCTTAAAAATTTTTTAAATGTGGAATTTTCATATTTCATACCACTTTCTTCCATCAAGAGGTAAATAAATAGATTTTTTTTAAATTTTATTTTTTATAAACATATAATATATTTTTCTCCCCAGGGGTACAGGTCTGTGAATCGCCAGGTTTACACACTTCACAGCACTCACCATAGCACATACCCTCCCCAATGTCCGTAACCCCACCCCCCCACCCCCCTCCCCCCATCAACCCTCAGTTTGTTTTGTGAGATTAAGAGTCACTTATGGTTTGTCTCCCTCCCAATCCCATCTTGTTTCATTTACTCTTCTCCTACCCCCTTAACCCCCCATGTTGCATCTCCTCTCCCTCATATCAGGGAGATCATATGATAGTTGTCTTTCTCTGATTGACTTATTTCGCTAAGAAAAAAATAGATCTTATCCTATGCGTTTGTATATCCCATTTTGTGTTACATAATAGTATCATACACGTTGCATATGATGTATGATTTGTTAACCTTTTTTTTCCCCAACCATATTGATTAGTTGATTAGTAACGTTTTAAAATGTTTCCTGCTAAAAGAGGCAGTATATAAAACTTTATATAAAACTATAAAAACTTTGGTTTGACTTTGTTTATGAAATGATCTTCATCTAAAATAGAGCAGTTTGGCATAAGGTTGTTTATCAGATTTTTCAAAACCACATGTAGAGGTTTGAAGAGAATAGTAGTCAAGAGGTGTCTCCAATCCCTGAACGCATTAATTGCTCTGTACAGAACGGTAACTAAATACCAGACTCTTCAGCAGCCTCTTTTAATAGATAAGAAACTTCATGAGGATAAAAAAGTGAACCATAGAAGGAAGACACAGAAGTAGTCTAATTCTCCTCCTTCCTTGGGCGCAAGGAAGTCTTTTTTCATATATGAAACCAAGAAGAGTAGAGAGATACATATGTGTCCTCTCATAAAGATGAGCATTTCAATTAGTTTGAAATGTTTTCTTTTTTCTTTTTTTTTAAATTTGCTGAGACAGAATGAGAAGGAACACAAGCAGGGGGAGTGGGAGAGGGAGAAACAGGCTTCCCGCCCACTGAGCAGGGAGCTCGATGTGGGGCTCAATCCCAGGAACCTGGGATCATGACCTGAGCCGAAGGCAGACGCTTAACCACTGAGCAACCCAGGCCTCCCAAGCGATAGAAGTTTCTTAAGTGAAGATACAGAAAAAGCTCTCGAGTGAGAGGGGTCCCAACAGGGTTGCCCTGAAATGTTTTCTAAAGTATCATCCTAAGATCTCACAACCCAGTACAGTCTATTTTTACCACTCCTTTGACTTTATAGTTTTGTTAGACAAGGCTAAATGTTCTGAAATGGGGGGTGGGGAGAGGGATTTAAAATAATGGAACGTTTCCTTAAAATTTTCAGAAACGTGAAAGAGAGAGGAGGGAACAAGATAAAAAGCATACAATAAACCAAATTATAGGACAAAAAGAATAATTCAAATACTTAGTGATATTCTAGGTCCAGAGAGCAAAAGTGACCAGAATTCATGGACATATTTATCCTTTTAGAGAAACAGTTTTAGTTAGCTTTGACTTTGAGATTTGAGTCCATACTTATGACAGAATTCAAGCTTTTTAAAAACAGGGATGTGAAGAATGGATCTATTGATGTTTGGATGGATATATTGTTGTTTGAAAATGAGTACGGATATCTAGCTCTTTAACAATCTTTTTAAAACATTTCTGGGTTCTCAAGCATTTTTAGGTTCCCTGCAAAATTGAGTAGAAGATACAGAGATTGCTCACATACCCTCTGCTCTCACACATGCACAGCCCTCCCCCATTGTAAACATCCCCCACCAGAGTGGGACATTTGTTATAATTGAGGAGGTGTGATTGACACATCGTAATCCCCCAAAGTCTATAGTTTACATTGTAATTCATTTGTGGTGCTGTATGGTTGGGTGAATGTCCGATGACATGTATCATCATTATGGTATCATGTGGAGTATTTCACTGCCCTGAAGATCGCCTGTGCTCCAGCTACTCATCACCCCTCCCAACCATTGATCTGGTCTGTCTCTGTAGTTTTCCCTTCCCCAGACCCTCATATAGTTGGAATCCTACAGTATGTAGCCTTTCAGATGGCCTCTATTACTTAGTAATATTTATTTAAGGTTCTTCTGTTTCTTGTTGTGACTCTTGATTGATTTTTAATTTCTATCAAGTGAAATTTGAAAATGGAGAACATATTTAGAGTGTATGACATTTGTTTTATATAATTAAATGAAGATTTTTTTGGGGGGTTGTGTATAATGAACAGATTATATTCCATTTTCATCAGTAATAATCAAGTGCTTCCTATTTCAGCCTTTCCCATTTTCAGAACCACATAATATAATGATTTATAAATGGTTAAAGGAATGTTTTACATTTGTAAAAATGGAAACATTTGTATAGATTGACAAGCAGTTTTACCACAAATTGTTTAACTACCAAAACTGCAGTATCTTTGTTGCAGAATAAACCTGTCGTTTTTAGAGATGTTTGTCAGACAGGTTTTTTTTTAAATAATTTATTGTAAGTGAGTCACAGAAGTTTTTTTTATCTTTGACTGTCTTCCAGGATATAAAAGTGGTCTTAAAAAATTAGATCTTAAAAGGTATGTTTAAGTGGAATAAGAATGATGATTTTTAAAAAAAGCATGTTCAGCTTTCTGGAAAACAGTTTGGTAGCATGTATTAAGACCTTTTAAAAAAGCATATCATATCCTTTGAACTAATAAATAAACCCCTATGCTGAACTAAGGAAGGAACAGAGACATAGAAAGATTAACCCAGGGGTGCCTGTTGCCTCATTCAGTAGAACATGCAACTCTTTTTTTTTTTTTTTTTTTTAAGATTTTATATATTTATTTGACAGATCACAAGTAGGCAGAGAGGCAGGCAGAGAGGCAGGCAGAGGGAGAGGGGGGAAAGCAGGCTCCCTGCTTGAGCAGAGAGCCTGATGCAGGGTTGATCCCAGGACCTTGAGATCATGACCTGAGTCAAAGGCAGAGGCTTTAGCCCACTGAGCTACCCAGGTGCCCGGAACATGAAATTCTTGATCTCGGGGTTGTGAGTTTAAGCCCCATGTTGGTGGACATAAAGCTTGCCTTTGAAAAAAAAAAAAAAGATTAACTTGGAACTAACTATACTCATTTCAACATTACTATTTCTAGAGACAATTTAGAAGCAATTTAAATGTCAGTAAAAGGGAAATGGTTTCTCAAAGTTAAACCATGGAATGGCATCCCTTGAGTTAAAGCCTGTAGTCAGCATGAAATGCAGAAATTTTGTATAGACATAATACCTTGAAAATCCCTGAGAGAGGCCATATTGGTGTGTATCCTGTCGTAATTTATCCAACGGAGCTAGTTTTTCCTTTGGAGGGGAATAGTTGTCCGTTTCTTTGATTAGGAGCTATGAATGCATGAAAAATAACTGTTTAAACATTAGAACCCTAGAACAATAACTACTCACTGGAAGTTAAGAACTGAGACTTCTCCCATTTTATTCATCCTCAGGGGCATGTGCTCTTAATTGGACTCATAAACACTCAGGATTTGTTTTTATTTGTTTTGTTATTCTTAAAAAATTTGTATTTACTATGATTTTTTAGGGAGAGCAAAGTGGAGGTGGGCAGAGGGAGAAAGAATCTTAAGCAGAATCCATGCCCAGCATGGAGCCCAACATGGGACCATGACCCTGAGATAGTGACCTGAGCTGAAATCAAGAGTCACACCCTTAATCAACTGATTCAAGTGTACACATAATTTAACTATTGGACATCAATTCCATTGATAAAGAAACTATAAAATGACTAGAATGAAATGTACTGAAAGTACTTTAACAGTGGTTATATTTGGGTGATTTTTGTTTGTTTATACCTTTCTAAATTTTCTATAGTGAACATATATTACTTTTTCAATTAACAAAAAGCTATTTAAAATTATCCTGCATAATGTTGAAAATATATGCCACCTTTGACCTGTCTCACCCAGATATTGGAAGGATTACTAAGATATTTGCTTAGCTATTATTTAAAAGCTGTGTTTGGATAGATCACAGGTAAATTTATGGTACAGTACGCCCTAAAATTTTTATTTTACGATTTTATTTCTTGTCAGAGAGAGAAACAGCACAGAAGCAAGGGGAAAGGCAGGCAGAGGGAGAAGCAGGCTCCCTGCTGAGCAAGGAGCTTGACTCAGGACTTGATCCCATGACCCTAGGATCATGACCTGAGCCAAAGGCAGACACTTAACCGACTGAGCCACCCAGGTGTCTCTGTCCTAAAATTTGCCTTATAAAGAGAATGAAATGGCACCAGGAGGGGTGCCCAGGTGGCTCAGTTGGTTAAAACGCTGGACCCTTGGTTTTTGACTCAAGTCATCTCAAGGTCCTGAGATCAAGCCCCGCATTGGGGTTGAGCCCAGAGCTGCCCGAGACCCTTCCTTTCTCTTCCCCTCTGTTCTTTCTCCTGCTCTCACTAGCTCATCACTCAATCAAACAAATCAAATCAACTTTTAAAGAACACTAGGCAGTCCTCTGATTTTTCCTTGGAATAATCATTGTGCGTAGTAGATGTCAGGGATAAAAGGGGATCTTGATGGCTAGCAAAAACCCAGTTTGTTAAGAGAACACGTTTTTGTTTTTAATTTGTTTTTAATGCAGCTTATGCATTTTGTTTAATTTACTGTGTACTGGTTCTGATGTCAGGAAAGTACTACATGTTTTGCATATGTAATGCCATTTATCTTTGCAACACTTTGAGATGAGTATCCTTTTGTAATGAACTTTTGTTTTAAATGTGTGTTTTAGAATTGAAATAGTTAAAACAAGTAAAACAATAGTTTTACTTCAGCTTGCTCATGGCCACCACGAAGGGATAGACCTGTGTAATTCACTGTAAAATACTGCTTCTTGGTTGTATCTTTTATTATCATGTGTGGTATTCAGCATGTACTTTGAAAATGAATAGCTATCCTTTTAGAGGCATGTATGTGTTAGCTGATTGCTTTCAAAGAACAGGCACATTTATTATACTAATCCATAGTATGTGGAGTGATGACCAGAACCTCAACACTGTATTCTCAATATTACTTCCTTAATACTGTACTTTAAGTATTTTAAGTATTTTAAGTATAAGATGAAAGGAATTGGCCAATGCTTTAATTAGGATTCTTATGATTAGTCCACTTTTGCTTCAATATGGCCCCATCATCTTTGCCACCATAATCCTTATTCTACTCCCCTTTTTAAATTTTTATTTATTTTTTAAATTTTGTTTTATTTTTTTAGAGAACACATACATGACCAGCAGGGTTGGGGGGTGGTGGCGGAGAGAGAGAGAGAGAGAATCTTAAACAGGCTTAAGATGCAGGCTCAATGTCAGGATCCTGAGATTAGTCCTGAGCTGAAATAGAGAGTTGGATGCGTAACTGAGCCACCCTGATGTCCCAGTTTCCCCTTTTTAAAATTAATTAATTTAATTAATTTATTTTTAAGATCGTTTATTTGAGAGAGCATGAGCAGGGGAGGGGCAGAGTGAGAAATATACTCCCCCCCCCCTTTTTTTTAAAAGAGAAGAGATACGGGTACTTGGCTGGCTCAGTCAGTAGAGCGTGTTACTCTCGATCTCAGTATTGTGAATTCAAGCCCCATGTTGGGCATAGAGCTTACTAATAAGTGAGCAAGAGATTGATTATAATTATAAATAGATGTATATTCATTATTATTTTATGTGGAAACAAAGTAGGCTTATAAGGAGGCTATAGAAATCTCTTCTAAGTGAGATACCACCTCACACCAGTTAGAATGGCTAAAATTAACCAGTCAGGAAATGACAGGTGTTGGCGAGGATGCAGAGAAAGGGGAACCCTCCAACACTGTTGGTGGGAATGCAAGCAGGTGCAGCCACTCTGGAAAACTTTATGGAGGTTCCTCAAAAGGTTGAAAATAGAGAAGCTACCCTATGATCCAGCAATTGCACTACTGGGTATTTACCCTAAAGATACAAATGTAGTGATCAGAAGGGGCGTGTGCTCCCGAATGTTTATAGCAGCTATGTCTGCAATAGCCAAACTATGGAAAGAGCCTAGATGTCCATTAACAGATGAATGGATAAAGAAGATGTGAGATAGATAGATAGATATTATGTGGAATATTATGCAGCCATCAAAAAACACAAAATCTTGCCATTTACAGCAACATGGATGGAAATAGAGGGTATTATGCTAAGCGAAATAAGTCAGTCAGATAAAGGCAAATATCATAGGATCTCACTGATAGGAGGAATTTGAGAGACAAGACAGAAGCTCATGGGGAAGGAGGGAAAAGTGGGATAGAACGACAGAGAGGGAGACAAACCATAGGAGACTCTTAATCTCAGGAAACAAACTGAGGGTTGCTGGAGGGGAGGGGGCTGGGTGATGGACCTTGGGGAGGGTATGTATGTGCTATGGTGAGTGCTGTGAATTGTGTAAGACTGATGCGTCACAGACCTGTACCCCTGAAACAAATAATACATTATATGTTAATGAAAAATTTTTTCAAAATCTCTTTTGAGTTTTAGGAAACAACTGAAACGTGAGAGACAAAGGAAAGGCATTACAGAGCCTTGAATAGCCATCAAAGTAAGGGGACTGATGTTAGCTTATCTTTTTTCCTGTTTCGTCTCTAGAATACTGATGAAAAGATAGGTCTAACAAGCCATGATTCTCTAGTTGTTGATACCTACTTCAACCGTTGCTTCTAAAATGATACCAGAAAGGCAGTTCATTAGTTTGATGTTACCTATAAAATCTTTCTAATCATTGCAAAAATAGTATTTTGGAAAAATAAGGTGGTGTAAATTAAGTAGCAAGAGTACAGGCTTTGGTGTCAGCACACTTGAGTTGGGTTTTCATTTTGTGTTTTCAGACCTGGATTAAAATTTGGCTCTGTCCTTTGCCAGTTGTCTGATTTTGATCTAGTTACTCCACCTGTGAGCATCAGAGAAGGGTGTTAATACCTACTCTTAAATTGTTGGGAGGATGAAGTATGCTGTTGCACATGAATGACTCTTATCCTAATGCTTGGTATAAAGAAGTCTTCAGTGTTCCCTTTCTCATCCCAGTTTTTATCAGAAGTTTTTAATTTGCTCTTTTTCCCCCCCTGTTCTAGGTGGATTGTAGACATGGAAGGTGCACCAGGTACCTTATATGAAGGGGAAAAATTTCAACTTCTATTTAAGTTTAGTAGTCGATATCCCTTTGACTCTCCTCAGGTAACTGCCTTATTTTTTAACATTTTATTGTATTTTTAGATTATAGCAAAACACTAAATCAGTGACTTTTGACTAAACACAAACTTATAAAGAAATCCATTGTAATTATGTGAATAGATTTGTTCCTTTATGTTATCTGTAACATAATCAAGATTTTATGAACATTTTACTTTATTGAGATTAGAGCTTTGCCGCTTTTATACTCTGAGAACTTAACATTGTTTTTTATGAATAGATGTTAGCAGAAAAGGGGTTGGAAATCTAACCCAGGCCCATAGGGTGTGGGAGAACTTAGCATTTGGAATAACTGGAGGCACTTATTTCTAGATAAGATGATCGAATGATATTGTGAGGGGGGCAAGTGATTTGTTGAAAGGAACACTTCTTTGATTTTGCATTGACATGCTGTCCTTGCAGTCTTTTAGTACCATAAAGATAGAATATATTACAAGATGTTAAATATCTAAACATAAGCCCTAAGTCTGATCATTATAATTTGAGGCACAGTTAGTTTACATAATGGGTTGATACTCAGACAAGGGATAATGGTGATAGAAGAACTTTTTTGAGATCTGTTTAACCGTGGTGAATGATTAATCTTTGGAAGTTAGAGAAAAGGAGATTCTAGGATGACTTCCAGACTTCTGACTTGGTGAGATGGGTAAATGAGTTACTAGTGGCAAAATGATAAGACTTAATGCCAGCTCAGTGTAGTACTGCTAGATAATGAGGTTCTGAATAGTGAAACTTCTCAAATACCTAAAACTTGTGAAGTGCTAAAATCATTATTTTGGAGGAAAATCCCATTTCATTGCCACTTTAAATAGAATATATACCAAGGAGTGTAGGGGTAGAGATGGAGGTCACTTATTGTAATATGCTATAAATACAAGAAATTGTTTTAATAGAGGCACAGAATTAAATGGAAATGGATTCCTTGAGTTCTGCAGTTTTTGTGCAAGCAGAAAATAAGATTAGGAAACCCATTTTTATCATTTTCATAAAACAAAGCTTACGGTTATGTATTGTCATGACCTCTAGGCCTCTCTATTAAGCATGTGTAGACTATGATAAGAAACCAAAGCAAACATCTTCCTTTTCTCTAGGAAATGATCTTCACATTTTGTAGCCTTTTGACTTACCAGCATCATTTAAGATAGTTAATCCTTGAAGGCAGTGGTATCTCCTTGTCACCTTCAAACTGTTCTTCTATACTTCAGCTAAGTTTTTTGAAGGGTTACAAAGGAAGAATGTGACTCACCAACTTCAAACTGTTGACTGGGGGGATATTGGAGAAGGCTTACTCTGGGAGCCCACAGATTTTTCATCAGAGGAAAATAGTATTTCAATAAACATGAACCAAATCAAGTGTCCTCTAAATTCTTTCTTTAGTATTTAAATCTAAATCAAATACCAAACTATGGAGCATCATTTGAATTTCATCTTGAATATTTCTGTAAGAGCGTTCGTAATGGATTCTGTCATCTTATCTCAAATTCTTTTTTTCTCCTTCCCTATTTTGACTTCTGGCCTCTCTTCTGAATCTTCTGATTTTGGTGTTCTCTCTGTTCTTTATTCAGCATCCCCTTGTTCTTCTCTCTCTTTCTTTAATGTCTTTAACCATCTTAAGCAGCTAACTCCCAGATCTGCAGTTCTGTGTAGATCTTTTCTTTCTGAGGTTTAATTTCACACCACTGTTGGATATCACTACTTGAATACCTCCAGATGTCTCAAATTTAACACATCTAAACTCAATCTTTTCCAGTAACAAAATAAGGAAAAATTTTTTTTTCTTGAGTTATTGTCCACCTGTCTGCTTGCATTGAAATTCTTCCCTTCCCCTCACTGTTAAATGCAGCTGTTCACATCCTTTTGCAGTGCTTAAGTCAGTCCACTCTTATCCTACTGTCAATGCTGTAGTCCAAGTTTCTATCTATCATGTGGACTAATACATAATAGCCTTTAGTTCTTTCCGCTCCTAGCCATCTGTTCACAGTGCTGTTAGATTTCCTTGAAGGTGCAGTTGCGTCATTGATTTGCACAGACACACAATGCCACCATCACCACCACAACTATCCCTATCTCCTCCTTAAAACCTCTAATGCTTCCTTATTTTCTGCAGTGTCAAGTCTGAAAACGCTTTAGCTTTTCATGTAAGTTCAAACTTAACCATTTCATCCACACATTACCTCCATGCCTTCTACTATGTAGTTATATTTGTGTTATACTTTCTAATGTAACTTCCATTTTTATTTTATCTTGTAATGGCTCTAACGAAGTGGTTAGGGATTCATCCTTGTAAGTGAAGAAATTAAAGGTTTAGAAGTAAAGTGTCTTGTTCATGGTTTAAAAGCTAGCTAATTAGGATAGTCAAGACTCAAACCCAAGTTACTCCTTTCCATACTGTCCAATTAGAGGTGAGTACCAGAATGGGGAAAATGCTTATTTATCCAGACAGTATTGTTATCTCTAAAAGTGAAAGATAATATGTAGTAGGATAACTTTGAAAGCTCTGGGGCAGTTGTTGCCAGTCTTTTAGAATAGATTTTATATCACTTTTTAACATCACTCTCATGTCACAGAAATTGTGTATACTAGTATCCATGATTGAGAAAATAACAGAGCTGCTCTAAGTCTACTAATACTTGATAACTTTTTAAATTTTTATTAATCAAGAATCTCTATGATTATAAAATAATGGTAATGGTCTAGCAATTAGTTCCTTGTTGTACATACAGATTTTGAGATTTTTTCCAATAACTGAAACTTTCCAGAGATCCATTGCTCTGAGGAAGTGATTAGAACCACTCAAGGGCAGTAAAATTCCTCATTCACCAAAAATTTTATTTGATGAGACCCAGCAGCATTGGCACTTGTTAGAAAATTCTTCTTTGATCTTCCTATGCAATAAAGCAGTATTAAATTTACCACTACTTACACGAGTAGAATTTGGGGGAAATAACCCTAAAATAAACCAGTCTCATTGTGAACTCATTACTTCTGTATCAGTAAGTTAGATCTGTAAGACCATAATAAACTTCATAGTTTGCTGGGTTTTCTTTTCCCTACTAGTTGTAATTAATTTTTCATGTATCTCAATTTACAGTGAAAAAGCTACCTATCTAAAACAAGGTGTTTGGCTGAGTCATTTGCTTTAAAAGAAACAATAATGACAGCAAGACCTTTTAATATTGGGAAAAGAGATGAGGCACTTTTCCATCACTGTTTTCTACTAATGTACACTTACCATCAGCCATATGGAAATACTGTCTTTCTATATTATATTCTGTTTTCCTATTCAAGGATACAGGTAAATGATTGGCTGATTTAATGCGTAGTATACGTGAATTCTGTATCAAATACTGTGCTCTGTACTTTAGAAACAAAAAAGAGTACAGAAATTAAAAGGTGTTGGGCCTGCCTTTAATAATTGGTTTAGTATTTGGATAGGCAGATGTGGATTCATTCACTCTGTAAGTATTTATCTAGCACATGTCATAGAACAGACCCTGTACTATGTGTTGGCAGTAGTAGTGAAGAAAATCAAATACAAAACCTCCTTAGGTGGAGTTTGCATTCTTGTAGAAAGAGACAATAAACAATAAGCAAAACATAAAGTATGGAAGATGGTGGAAAAAAGGCGATTGAGGATATTGCAGCATTGGATAGAACCATCAGGAAAGTTTCACTGAGAAGGTGACTTTGGAGCAGAAATCTGAAAATGCAAAGCCTGTGAGCCCGGAGCACATGTGACAGGTCCCTGGAGTGTATACGAGAGGGAATCGGGGGCATAGGTCTGAGAGATAATTTGGGCTGGAGGATCCGTCATGGATTGTATAGCCCAGTATAAGAGTTTTGTTTTCACTCAGAATGGGATGAAAAACCTTTTAATATTTTGAGCAGAGGAATGACACGATCCTGCCTAAAATTAAAAGGTAGAATTTGACTGCTGTGTGGCACATTGACTGTTGGGTGTATAAGGGTACAGGGAGACCAGACAATTTGCAGTAATCCAGGTGAGGGGTTGATGGTGACTTGCACCAGAAAGTAGTAGTGGAGGCTGTGGAAGATGGCCATATTTTGGACTTACTTTATTTTACTTTATTATTATTTTTTTAAGATTTATTAATTTGAGGAAGAGAGCTCAAGCGGGTGTAAGAGGCAGAGAGAGAGTCCTCAAGCAGACTCCCCAGGGATCCCAGGACCCTGAGATCATGACTTGAGCCAAAATCAAGAGCTGGTCTTTAGCCAACTGAGCCATCCAGGGGCCCTGGACCTGTTTTAAAGGTTGAGCCAGCAGGATTTGCTAATGAATTGATAAGAAATATGAGCGAGAGAAAGGAGTCAGGGAAGACTCCACAGCTTTTGGCCTGTGAAACTGTATGCACTATAAGTTGAAGTATAAATTATATGCTTTGGGAGCAAAAGAGAAAGCAATGACTGGTTTAGAATGAGGGGGCAAAGAGAAACCTGTTTATACTGGGACTTAAAGCAGAAGAAGAGTTTATGTCAGAAGTAGAACAAATCATGAAAAGACATGGCTTCTCCTGAGATTTATGAGCAAATGTAGTTTTATATATAAATAAATGGAGGGCTACAGCAGGAGATGAAAAAGAAAGGATGTTTTGGGGCTTATCCAAGAGAGTCTTGCAGTGTAAAGGATTTGAAGATTTATCTCAAAGGAATTGGGAGGTATAGTCACCTCTCCTTCCAAACTGTGAAGTCTTCAAGTTTAGTGTCTTTACCATTTTGTTTCTTTTCCTTTCTACTTCCTCCCTCACAATTAGCCGCTCTTCCCTTCCAGATATCTTTGGCCTTTAAACCCCCTTCCTCTGTCAGAACATCCCATTTGAATGCAATAAAATTGAAACACATTATCTTGTAAATGTCCTGGTTATACTTTGTTTTTAAGCTTTTCAACTCTAATTTTTGTTGAAGATATTTTAGGCATTTTAGAAATAGGTGAGGAAGTTTTTTTTTTTTTTTTTTTTAGGGGAAAGAGGATACTGTACTTCCTCTTGAAACCATATCAATGCTAAAAGTGCTGCTGAAAATATACTTACCTTGTTTACAAAGCTTTAGGAACACTGGTGCAGAAGAGTAGCTGCTTTTTCCTCACCCTTATTTCCCTTCCTATTCATGCCCCCTTAACCCAGACCCTTTGGTTCTGTTGCTCAGTACTCCTTCATTGCAGAGATCCAGAACCTATTTTCATAGTGTTCTCATCCTTTTATTTGTGGTGTCATTTTCCTTGCTCTTTCATGTGATGGTGGTTAAGCTTTCTAAAGTCTTAAATAACCATTTTTATTGCCTTAAATTGTCTAGCATCTAGGACACCTGACGAGGAGAAAGGGAACAGTGAACCCTGTTCGTTGAAGCCTTGGGGGTAAAGCAAAGGGAAGATAAAGGAGAAGACTGGTAGGCTAGAAGAACACAGCTTATAAAGGAGAGAGAATGGTTACCATCCAGGGCACCCGAATTTAGTTTCATTGTATCCAGGAATTTTGACTTTGTAAACTTGTACAATTGCATAAGGGTAATAAGGGTAATTATGGAAGACAAAAAAAAAACCAAAAAACTATTAATATTGATGCTACTAATACATGTTAAGTGACTGAAAGGGGAAAATTGGATTAAAAACTATGCTAAAACTCCAGTCCCTAGTTACTTTTGTCAAATATTTACCATTTATACTAGATTGCCTGTATCATATGTTACTAATAATTAGATATCTGATCATAACAAATTCTGCTTACATGTTCAGTTTTTATAGTTTGCCCATTAAGTATTGCCATCTACTTATAATTTTAATAAGAGAAAGCGTTCCCTTATATTGTTCCTGGTATCCATTTTGTATATTGGCTTTTATATTTTATAGCTTATTCATACTGCTTATTCTTACAATATGTGTTTTGACCTAGTTTGATGCCACATTAGGTGTCTCACTTTCTAATTAGTTGCAGAACACTCGTCTGAACATAGTAGTATGCCTTCCTTGTGGTCAGATCTTAGTATTGGGTCATGCAGTATTGAGCTTGATTGGAAATCCTGTGTACTCATAAATATGAATTTCATATTAGAAACAGTTACCTAAGCTCCATCCACTGTTTTGTGTCATCATTGGTGACTTTCATTCTCAAATTAGTAATTTTGTGAGACACACTGTATTGTTACCAAAAGTTACCCAGAGGTTGGCTTGCTTAAAACTTAATGTTGCATGTGGGATATGCTTACTTAACTCCAAAATTATGATACGGGGCATAGTTTTTCTTAGGTCTCACTTGCTCTTGAAAATATGCCATACTAATAGAGAGATGTTTGGAAATTTAGATTCGTCTGAATGCTATTTCTAATGTAGACTTTGAACTTCAGGTATGATTCACATGCATTAGCTTGGAAATGCCGTACTGATAAGGAGATGTTTGGAAATGTAGATTCATCTGAATACTGCTTCAAATGCAGACTTTGAACTTCAGGTGTGATACACATGCATTAGATCTAAGATCCTTTTCTAAAATTGTGGCTTTTTTTTTGTAAAACAGCTTATTCTTTAAAATCTGTAGTTTCATTTTATTGTTTGGTTTATGAGTATGTACAGTTCTCTGGTTGTTAACTGTTGATATGACTAAGTTTGAATTTGAATAAATGATTTTAAAAATAAATAATTCTAAAAACAAAGAAATTAGCAAAGTTCTTATTTATTCCCCTTCGTTTCAAATTCATGGTATTCAGTTGTCTTGTTAAATCTGAGTTTTATTGGCTACTTGGGACTCCCCCAAAAAAGTTTTTTAATTTTGAAAACAGCTAATCATCTCTTGGGCTTTCAGAACCTGCTTGGCTGTATTAAAGTAACTGAAATGTCCCATTTCCTCCTTTGGATTGTACCATGTGTTAAATAAATGAGGACGGTTAAGAGCACAATCTTGAAGAAGTTCAGCCTTGGTTACTTTTCGCATCACATGCAAAGAACCAGAATTGCAGAGTTTACATCAAAACTGTCTGTGGAAACTGCTTACCAGCCTTTTTACATGAATAAACTTTGAAAGAAGTTTTTTCTTTTATTTCAGGAATTCATCTCTGACATGTAAACTCAGGCTTTCTATGTTTAGACAAACTTCTAAAATTCTGTATCTGGCAGGTTAGGCCCTAGGGGTTACCTATAATATGTGCAGCAAATTGATTCCCCTATTTGGTTGCTGAAAGTTTCAGGCTGGCTGTATTTACCCAGCATGCAGCATGTTAAAAAGCCCCAGCTTCCCCCTCCCCCTTTCCGTTGCTTTTCTTTTTTTAAGGTTTACTGAGATCTGATTTCTTTTTATTTCAGTCCCCTCAACCTTCAGAGCTGTTTCTGTCTTGATTTCTGGCTCTTTTTGGTGCTTATCAGTGTCTGCTGCTCCTGCTGTAGGTGTCTTCTACTGCTTTCCATCCCTTTTCCTTGCTCCTGATTTCCTTTTGATTCATGGGTACTTCTTGGTTCTCAGGTCAAGTGATTTAGTTTATAATCTGTTCTCTCCAAGAGCACTCATTGCTTTCCTTCTGCTTTGTGAATTGGCTAGTCAGAGCATGTTGTGATAACTTTTGTATTTTACTGTCTGTGTATTTTCCTTGGTGGTTGCTGATGCACTGATTAATTTTTGCCAAAGAAGGTAACTTGGCAATTCTTCATTTTTTGGCACTTTCAGAGCACTATTCTATGTGACTTTTTAAAAAGGAAATCTGACTGGAAAAGAAATACCCTTTAAAAAGTATTTGTGACCAGGGGATAAGTTCTTAGGCATTGTTTGTATTCTTAATTACAATACCCTGTTGGTCAAATGGAATTTTGTGGCTGAAAGAATACCCCAGAGCAGATGCATGTTCTGCGAGATTTGTAAACTCCCACGCTAGACATCTGTAACACATTGTGGGAATATCAAATATATATAATAAACTACATGTTTATAAAAAATAAAATTTAGAATAATTGTGGGTAGACTCAAAGTACGGAGCTGCAAAACCATTTAAGCAGTCATTTCCTTTTACAGAGAGCCCCCTCCCCCTTTTTTTTTTTTAGCAAAAAGTGATGAAAAGGATACTGGCACTGATAGATAAAATTGAGATAAATAGTAGGCTTCAAACACAGCTGTGCTAAAGTTGGGGATTGGGTAGTCTTCTGCAATCAGGCAGGGCAAGTAACTTGATATCTCTTACTTTGAGACTTATTTTTAGTTTTCAGCTTTATTTTAGCTCTTTTTAGTGGGAATGGAGGGTGCATGACCAAAATTTAAAGAAACAAAATATGCAAGTGTGTAAAGTCATTCCTTTGAGAAAAAAATTCCTTTTGTTTTCTTATATTAGCTTCAGCCAAGGAAACAAGTTCCATATGTTAGTAGTATGTTTGAAATATTAGGGGACTTCTACATATATGAAAGAGTGCTTTGTTAAAATGTAAGTATTTGTGAAATTGTAATGAAGACAGTTTTATAGCTAGATACTTGAAAATAAAAGCAAAAAACCCAGTTTATGGTACTTCTCCATAACATGTCCCATATTAAATGCTGACATACCTTACTCTAGCCACACTTATTTCACTGGCTGTCTTTTTTGTTCTTATATAAAGGGGAAAATAGGTTATGCCTAGAGCAATAAATACTTCATCAGTTTCTGATATAACTGAAGGTGGGGTTTCTTCTTAGTAAGATTTTGTTGTGTATTCAAGTGTGAGGGAGTTTTAGGGCTGAGAGAGAGACATGTAAGTCTCATTTGGGAACTACTGGTTAATATTTGACGAGCTTTATAAAAATCCCACCATACCTACTGATTCAGTATCTGTGAAAGTGGAGCTCTTGCATTTATATTTTTACCCACATCTTCAGGTGATTTTTTTTCCTTAAGGTCAGGAATTAGTAATTACTATTAACAACAGAGTAAAAATGTTAGATCTTACCACAGAACAAAATACACATAAAGATTGGTGGATTAATTTTTGTATCAAAATAAGTAATTTTTATGAGGTAAAATATAAACAGCCTGAAATATTAGACTTCAGTGTCTCTGTCCCAGTTTGGGCTGTGCTTACAGGTTCTTTGGGATGTATGAATTCAGTCTTCTCCCTGTTCAGATGCTTAGGGTAGATATGTTTAAGAAACACTACTATTGGGATACTTAATGAGTTATTAGGGCAAAGGAAGGAATAATAGATTTATTACCTTACAGTTAGTGTGGAGACAAGGTAGAGAAAGGAAAAACTGTTAGAAGAATTGAGTAGAAAAAAAGGCAGAGAAAAACTTGACCCATTCAAACTTTTTTTTGTGTGTAGGCACAGTTATTTGCTGATCAGTAAGTAGTAATGTGTATGTATCATAATGGATGAGCAAGTTTAGAGGAGATGGTATATGTAAATTATTTCCTTTTGCACATAACACCTTAGTTGGTAGCACTGTTACAGGTGAAAGGGGTGTTCCTGTCACATATAATTCATATTGTCTCAAAATTGAATACTTTTTTATTTCTATATGCAGAGAGCAATGAGTAGAATATGAAAAGACATTTTTATAATTGTCTTTATTGGGCTAAAAATGCATGGTAATTTATAAATTTTTAAAGGGAATTTGTGAAAAATAGCTGAAATAAAAAAACAGATGACCTGGATTTTTTCTCTGTATGTTCCATTCCCTACATCCTCATTCACACAGTGAAACCAGTACTTTGTGGATTGATGAGAATAAACAACAAGCAGTTGTTTATCTTGTTTCTGGCACTTACTTTATTTGTTTTTAATTGGTTTTTAAAATAGTAAGTTCTATGGAGAATATTTTATTTCTTGGTAATACAGAATATTTGAGTGTTAATGGAATTTTATTCTTTCTTAGGTCATGTTTACTGGTGAAAATATTCCCGTTCATCCTCATGTTTATAGCAATGGTCATATCTGTTTATCCATTCTAACAGAAGACTGGTCCCCAGCGCTCTCAGTCCAATCAGTTTGTCTTAGCATTATTAGTATGCTTTCCAGCTGCAAAGAAAAGGTAGGACTTCTCAGAATTATTCCAGGTAATATCTCTTTTTTTAGTTTAGGTAGAGAAATTATTTTAATACATAATTTATGTGAAGGAAGACTTAATGCCTTTTATTAAGAAGTTATGGGTAATATGCTTAGTAACAGATTAGAAAATTACTTCGATAATCCTTCATTCCATGTAGAAGTCAGACATTGTTTTATATTTCTTAAACAGAAAATTTCTGCAGATGTTCTCAGATAATTTGAATTTTATTTCTGTAAGCATGCACAAGGTAGAAGTATACAAGAAATTCTCATTTCTAGATTTCACAGTAGAAAGTCCCAAGAGCATGTTTCCCTTCTCCCCTCTGCTGGCCCCCACCCTATCAGCCTCTTTTAGGGAATTTCCCAGGAACCAGAGCTTTCCTATCATACTGATCATCATGATTAGGTTGAAAGAGAAAGGTTAGAGACCAGCAGAATTTTCAGGACTTTTCTTCTCATTCCCCTTTATTTATCCACAGATTCTGTCTGATGGAAAGGTAAAAACACCAGAAAGAAAAATCACTTGAGTTTAATTTGGATACCCTTTTAAAGTATCTAAATCCTGTGTGCATTTCTGGCCTCTTGTGGTTTCTGCCTGAGAGCCAGTGTGTAGCCCAGTGTTCATGTATTTCTCTATTTTAAAGCCTCTTTTCTTCATGACGTTTTCCTTTTGTATTGGGTCTAAAGGAGAACAGCTTTACCTTACAGATTAGGGATCTGTGGGGTTATTACAGCAGTTTTTTCCCCCCTGTTTTCTTGAAATTGAACTCTCATTTTTACTAAATTAGTATTTAGAGAACTTTAAATTAGTTTTTAGAGAACTTTAAGTGGTTTATTTTTAAATGATAGGTTATCTAGGCTGAAACACTCTAAGCCATTGTTTGCAAACTGAATTTCTTGAAATGTTAGTTTCCTAAGAAGTTTCTTGGTGTTAGGTTTAAAAAAACAGGTTCTTTTTGTTCAAAGAAGCATGGGGAAATAATGGTTTAAATTGAATTTTTTAATTACAGCCTTAAGAGCATTAATATGCAATTTATATACCATATAAGAATGTAAGAAACTTCTGTCAGTTAAACTGTGACAGTTAATACATGTTAAAAGGCATGTATCCCCATTCAGGAATATTAAAATGTGCAGAAAAACATACATCGTTGAATAGATGAAATAGGGTACAAATTATCTTACTGTAGTGTTTTTTAACTAACTTTGCCTATGAGATTTTCTAGGTTGCATTTTAAGGCTGTACTTGAGCTTTTGTTAACCTCGAGGGCTTTGAAACAAGTCTTATTTATTGCTTCCATGTTTTCTCTGCTTCTACCCTCTTCTACCCTCTGCACTTCTACCCTCTACGCACTTCTCCCTCTACACATATACAACTTTTAAATTTTAGGTATAGATTAGAGCAGTTTGCAGTTAGGACTTCTGTGTCCTCATTAATGTTTAATGTCTTTAGAAAGGTGAAGCAGTAAGTATAGGATTTTAATAAAAAAGTTGAGGTGAACACCAGTGATGTGTGCACGTAACTCTTACAGGTGCTTGTAATGATTAGTGCTTTGTTTACATTTAATGTAATGATTTACAATAAATAAATAAATGTAATGACTTACTATTAAAAACTAGAAAATGACTATATTCTCCATCTCCTTTATCCTTTTCTAGTCTTCTCTCATCCCCCTCACATTTCAGTTGTCTACTACTAGTTTTTCCTGCATAGTTAGTATAAGCCTTATTATTCCATTTAAATTATTGGTAAGCTATATTATATAATATGAACTAAATTATATTTAACCAAGATAGTAATTTGGAAGCAATTCTGGCAGCATTAGTTCTGTGAAATGCAGTAAAATTCAGTAAATGTTTATTAGGAACCTAGTAAGTACTGTTTCTACTGTGCTAAGTACTAGGTTATAAAGATGAAGAGGAAACTTGTTTTGGAACTGAGGGGATCTAGCTCCAAATAAGCTTTTAAAAGTCTTCTAACTACTCACCAAAAACTCTTTTTTTTTTTATCATAACTTTTATATTCAAAAACTTTTTTAAAACAGGTGAATTTTATTCTGTGGTCAATGTGGTTCTATGAGTTTCACTTTAATATTGACTTGAATACAAATTTTAATTTTTAGTATAAGTATTTGGGAACTTTGATTTATTCATAATTCTTTTATTCCAATTTTCATTTTCATAGTCAGGCATGTTTCCCTCAATTGAAGGCATTTAAATCCATCATGACAGGTAGATTTCAATAGATTAAAGATAATTTCTGATATTGAGAAGTCTTTTAGTAATCTACCACTTATTCTTCGTGCCCTTATAATACAGATAGTCCAAACTTTCTAGCTTGTATTCCATTCCTAAAACAATTTTGGTAATCCATCGTTTTATATAGTTACTTTATTTTTCTAAGAACCAAATCTCTGTGATCACTGATCAGTTTGGTTATATTCTTAAGCAAATAGAATGAGTATTTTTTTCTTAATTTTTTTTTTATTTTTTTGACGATTGGTTGTTGGTTTTGTTTGTTTTTGAAGATTGGGTTCTAACCAGTATACAGAGAAAATGAATTTATGAAGTTATTTGTTGCAGTGGTAGCAATCCACATTAACACAGATAATGACTTGCAGGACAAACAGCAACAGGTTATCTATTCTTTGAAGTCGTCAGGCATCTAATTTCATGATACTTTTTCAGATATTTTCTCAAACTTTATCAGCAGGGTAATTTTTGAGTAGTTTAACATAAGCTCTACTCTTCCCTTTTCTTAAGTTACTATTAATATTAACTTGTAAGGGCATTATTAGGCTCACTTAAGATCAGAGTTCTGTACGTGAGTTGTAGAAGTGCCGGGTGGACTGCCTGTTTCCCTACCTGCTGTCTAGGCAGTCCTGCTCACCATTGGTTTTTGGTTGGACCTATCTACTAACTTATCTACTAACCTGTGCTTAGTAGGTTTAATACAAATTTGATGTGTTTCCATATTTTTGTAGAGACTCCCAGTATTTCTTTCTTTCTTTTTTTTTTTTTAATTTGATAGAGATCACAAGTAGTCAGAGAGGCAGGCAGGAAGAGACAGGAGGAAACAGGTTCCCTGCTGAGCAGAGAGCCCGATGCAGGGCTCGATCCCAGGACCCTGGGATCATGACCTGAGCCGAAGGCAGAGGCTTTAACCCACTGAGCCACCCAGGCGCGCCCCGACTCACAGTATTTCTCGTGTCTGGTCAGTCCAACAGTTTTCAGGAAAATTCCCGTCCAAAATTTGTCTTCATTGTTGTTGGCATCACTATTTCTGCTGTAGCTCCCTTGCAGAGCTGCCATATGTATGTAATATTGTGCTAGTTGGGCATATATATGGCAGAAATGCCAAGATAGCTTTTTATATATTATTTGCAAACTGAATCCTTTGGTCTGTCCTTGGTGATGCTTACCTTACTGGAGGTTTATAAGTTGCTATTAATTTCTCAGACAAACTGAATTAAGATAGACTTTTCTGGTTTTTAATTAGATAAAATAAATGGAACCAAAATTCCTTAAAACCTAATGCTGCCACTTTGGGTTAATAGTCATTCTCTAGTAATCCCCCTGGAACCTAATCCAAATCATATATACATGCCCCTGGTTTTATTTATTTTTAAATTTCAGTGTCAAGGGTCTACTTTTCCTGGAATATATTATTTCAGTTGTGCCACATCAGCATTTATATTGTTTTTAGACTTAATGTAATAATTCTGCTAAAGTTTTTTCTTCCGCTTTACAACTTCTCTTATCTATTTAAACTCCTTTTGGTTTCAGAGACGACCACCAGATAATTCTTTTTATGTTCGAACATGTAACAAGAATCCAAAGAAAACAAAATGGTGGTATCATGGTAAGCACAGTTTTATTTTAGAATAATAACTTCATAGCATTTTGGTTTGAAATATTGTGTATCTGTTTGCTTGCAGTAAAGAAAGGAATATATAACTAATGTATTTTTGTAATATGGAGAAGAATCTTTAAAATGTGAAACCATTTAAAGGATATGTTGGACTAGATTTTTAATGGAGCATATAAAATCATGGCTGCCATACAAGTAAAATCTAAAATTGCTTTAGCATTCGGAAACACTACCATTTTAGTACTAAAAAAAGGGTCCTTAATAATCTCCAGATGAAATTGGAATTAGTATTGGGAAACCTATTACGTGAAATAGAAGTTTTGATGTCTTTTGAAATTACTTAACTCTGGTACTGTACTTAGTGGCGGGAGGGGGATCACATTGTGAGAGATGCCCATTTAATTAAAGAAAGCTCTTCCTGTTTTAATAGTGCTCAAAAATTTGTGTTTCTTCTGACTGTAGCTATATGAGTACAGTATTCTCACTAATGTTACTGTATTGTTTTTGTTGAGAGAGTGCTAATAGCTTTATAATTGAAAACTGCAAGCATCTTTTCTAAACTGACCTCACTGCCTTCCTAAAGAGGTGTATTTGAAATTCAAAACAAAATTTTATATTCCTCAATGTCCTTTTTGAAGTGCGTGAACAAAAACTACCCCCTGTGATTTTTGTTTCCATAAGAGCATTTCCCTTATTTTTCTTTATAAAATGTTAGTCTAATAAGAAATTAGAATTGACAGAGCTAATTTATAGGAATATGGCCTTTCCCCCTTACCTTTCTATCCTTTGTGAAACTTGTTAACTGAGTTAGTTTGAGTCATTTAACAACGTCTTAAATTATAAGAGTTCTGTTAGGTGTTGATAAGTGATGATTAGAATCAACATAGTACTACGTCAGCAGTTACAAGTTAGAAAACACAGTGAAAGAATGCTGTTTTTGAGAGCCAACAGATAAATGTTCCAGCTAATGTTAATGACAACTATAGATGATCTAGAAGAAAAATGACGAAACTTGGAAGAGCTATGAAAAAATAAAGATATTTGATGACAAACCAGTATTATAGAAAAATGTATAGTCTTTACAAATTACAGGTTTAATATAACTTAGTAAAAATCCAGTGGAATGATGGGTGGGTGCTTCAAAGTTTGGGGAAGACAAATAGGCAAGAAGAGCCGTTTGGATTTTGAACTAAAGGATAATGAAGGAGAATTGGTCTACCAGATACCAAAACATATTAATGCAAGAGTAGACATCAAAATAGAATTACTTTCTGTTTGTATTTATATTTCTATTTCTTATATATCAGATTTGAATATATAATCAGTTGGATGTCACAAAACCAAAGAGGAAAAGACTATTTAGTAAGTAATCCTGTTAGGAACATGGTAATCATTTTGGGAAAGAAATATTTAAATTTTTAAATATTTAAAAAATTTTAAAAATATTTATTTTTAATAAATATATAAAAATATATAAAATATATAATATAAATATATTTTATATAATATATATAATACATATAAATATAAAATATTTTTAAATATTAAATTTTTAAATATTTAAAAAATTAAATTTAAATTAAATTTACTTCATATGTAAACTCTTCCTTGTGGATTGAATTTTTTTTAAGAAAACAAAAAAAAATTTTTTTTAATTTTTATTTTTTATAAACATATAATATATTTTTATCCCCAGGGGTACAGGTCTGTGAATCGCCAGGTTTACACACTTCGTAATTTTTTTTTTTTAAGCTGAGTATCAGTTCAGATAAAGGAAGAATTTCTGAAGTTAAAAGGAATCAGAAATTAAATAGTTATATGAAAATTTAAACCTTTTAGAAAATCTTTTATTTATTTATTTATTTTAAAGATTTTATTTATTTATTTGACAGAGACAGCAAGAGAGGGAACACAAGCAGGGGGAGTGGGAAAGGGAGAAGCAGGCTTCCCGATGAGTAGGAAGCCCGACATGTGGCTCCATCCTAGGACCCAGGCTGAAGGGTGACACTTAACAATTGAGCCACCCAGGCACCCCTAGAAAACCTTTTAGAAAAACCTCAAAGCACAATCAGCATAAGGTTTAAAAATGTGAAAAACAATTATAGCTTATTAAAAATAAAGACCATTTATGAAAATTGCTTAACATAATACATACAATTAAAAGCATAGACCAAAAAGTTCACAGTAAAGTAATTACAGATTTAGTATTTTAAAACTATTATTGAATTGCAGAGTTGAGTAAAATGAGTTCTGTGCCATAAAAGAATAAAGGGTAGAATAAAATAGTACTCTCATATTTGCTGTTGGTATAGCAAGTTCAGCAATATTTAACAAGCTTAAATTTAAGATTCAAGGCTTTTGTCTCAGTTACCAAACTTCTGAGAATCCATCCTAAGAAAATCATCTTTAAAACAAGAAGTGTTTTATACAGTGGAATGTTCACTGGAGCATTATGATATACTTTATTTCTTATCCCCCATGTGCTGTTTTCCTGGAATGAATCCTGCACTGGCACACACAAAAACACCCTCCTGCCTCAACCAGTCCTTGCCTTACACACACCCTCTTGGGAACTTTTTCACCAAAGTCTTGCCTGATTAGTTTCTCTTTGAAAGAATCTAATAAACTTTAATACTGTGCCTAGAATGCTGGTTTTGTTTTAGTTTTTAAGAAATCCCCAGATAATTCTGATGGAGCTTGTCACTTGAGAACTACTGTTTCAGGGATCCTGAGGTATAAAGGGACAGCTTTCCATATAAAATGAATTAATAATCAGATTTAATTATTTCTGAGCACTGAAGGTCTACTAAAACACTTAACAAGACCCTACAGCCCTTTACTTCAATTTACATTGCTGGCTTCTCATTCTTTCTCATCTTCTTGCCTTTTAGGACCCAAAACCAAACTGCCTCTTCTCTCTGTGCCCTTCTGAGGAGCCCTTCTGGAAAAAAAAAAAAAAAAAAAGAAAGAAAGAAAGGGAAAAAAAATTGCATGTCACAGACCCTTTGGTCTTAGCATAGAAAGTTCCAGATTCATAAAAAGTTAAGATCAGTTGATCAAGAATATTGACAAACACAACTAAATCAAACCCACTGAGCCACCCAGGCACCCTTCCATAGTGTTTTTAAACCACTGGAGTTTTCTAATAAAACTTGAGAGGAGGGGCACCTGGGTGGCTCAGTGATTAAAGCCTCTGCCTTCGGCTCAGGTCATGATCTCAGGGTTCTGGGATCGAGTCCCGCATCGGGCTCTCTGCTCAGCAGGGAGCCTGCCTCCTCCTCCTGTCTCTCTCTGCCTGCCTCTCTGCCTACTTGTGATCTGTCAAATAAATAAAAAAAAAATCTTTAAATTAAAAAAAAAAAAAAACTTGAGAGGAAATTGTCTTGGAGTAATGAATTTTAAAAATACATTTATTTGGGACACCTGGGTGGCTTGGTAGTTAGGTGTCTGCCTTCAGCTCGGGTCATCATCCCAGGGTCCAGGGATCTAGTCCCGCAACTGGCTCCTGCTCAGTAGGGAGCCTACCTCTCCCTCTGCCCTCCCCCCTGCTTGTATGCATTCTCTTTCTCTCTCTCTCTCAAAAAAAAAAAAAAGAAAGAACGAAAAAGAAAAAAAAACATGTATTTTGAAAGTGTAACCTTCTTTACCATTCTGTCCTGCCCCAATGTTAGATAGTATATTCCTGTGTTGTTCCCTTCTCTTCCTCCCTGGTAGGGAAATTTCAGAAAGATTACAGTCTTTCAGGCCCTCTAATGCTCCTTTATATAGTTGAAAGGATTTATGAGAAGTCCTTTCTCTAAGATTATTCCCAGAATTTTTCATTATGTGCTTTTGATAAGAAATGGAGAAAGGTCACATAGTGAAACTAGAAATATAAAATAAATTCTTTAAAATAAAATACACTTCATACAAGTTTTTTATAGTAGTTTTTATCTATTAACTAAGAAATTTATACTTTCATGACTAAAGTAGAAAAGCCTTTTAATAGTTTAAGCTATTAAATTTTCCACCTTAGCCCAGAAATACCAAGAGAGGCTTTTCAAACTAAATTAACCCCCCCCTTTTTTTTTAAGATTTTATTTATTTATTTGAGATAGGGAAAGAGAGAGTGATGGGAAGAGACAGAAAGGGAGGGAGAAGCAGACCCCCCACTGAGCAAGGAGCCAAACATGGGGCTCAATTCCAAGATCCTGGGATCATGACCTGAGCCAAAGGCAAATGCTTAACCAACTGAGCCACCTAGGCACCCCCAAATTAGCCTCTTAATGTATAATAGTCCAGGGTTTGTGTAAGAATTCATTTTATTCAATAAACAGATTAAAAGTGTCTCCCTCCCCTCTCCCCCCAAATACAAATTAGCCATCTTAAAAGGACTGAATTCTATTTCAATTAAATTATGATTATTCTAGTTCAGGTCTCAGTCCCAGGTATAGATAAATTATTTTCATTTACAGATAATTCTGTTTAAAACATCCCAGTGTATTGACTTACAGTGATTATTCATATCTCAATGTGTTTTCTACTCATGCTTGAACCCTGCATATCTAAATCATTCCTCTCCCAGAATCCCCCTTTAAGTCAACAGTTTTGCTCCAGGAGTGACCCTCATATGAAATCAAGCTCAGGCAATACTAGTTATACTTTGACATGATAGAGCAACTGCTCTTTCATAAAGGGGACTGGGTGTAGACAATCTTCCTTGAACTTTTCCTCCACCTTTAAAAATCTAAAGCATTTCAGCTGTGTAGCATATATTATCTTTGCCTTTATACATTTCTGAGTGAGTTATAAAATGTGAAAAAAGCTCACGTTGGCCTTATATTTGAAATTGGAAAATCTTATAAGTCATGCTAACTCATAAAGCAAAACGTGTCTGCTCTGTTTTTGATCTTTCCAGATGTCAGCTTATGTTTTTCTGTTTAGTTGCTTTAGTTCCAAAAGGATCTTCATGGATTAATCATATTCTCCTTAAAACAACAAATTATCAAGAA